TATATACAGAAGCCTGATGATGGCAGATGAGATTCTGCCGAAATGTTGCTACAACTTTAAAAGCACAACCATAATGACGTGGGAAAATACCCGAACAAAGCTGAATACCATACATATAAATACCCGCAAAAACTTAAGGAAACAAATACATATATATAGTATATACATGAAAATTCAGAGAGCCACTATAAAATGGTGGAAGCAGAAACTGCTCCATTTTAGGAATGTGAAGGATTTCACGTGAAACCCCTAAGAAATCCTGCTGTTCATTAGAGAAGTAGAACAATATTGAGTAGATAATTTGACCCAGCATTGTATGTTCATGCTGATGTACTGAGTTTCACCAACAGCCAGTTTCAGCCATGCTGCTTTGCACCAATAACCACACCCATCCTTCCCAGCACCTTTACAATCAGAGGTTAGCAGAGAGCTAGAATGTAATTAGTTCATTTCTTGCCCCTTTAAATCAATGGGATCAATTCTTCCTTTCCAACCCTGCTCCAGATGAGAGCTGTGAAGGGGAACAGACGCTACCATGGTATTACTCAGTTGATGAGGGTATTATCCCTATCATAGCTTATTGATGATCTGTGGCAGAGCTGGGATGGTGGTCTTAGTGGCTTTTGATTCTACTGGTCACAGTATCTTTCTCAGCTGATTCCTTGAGTAGGACATTGGGAGCACCATGCTATGGCTCTCTTCTTTTCCCCAGGGCTGGTTCCATTTGGTGTGGATTGATGGAAAGAGATCTTCCTTTAGGCCTCTCACTTGTGCTGTTCCACAAGGTTCTGTTCTCTCTCCTCCTTTTCAACAACTGCATGAAACCGCTGGGTGAGCTGCCAATTTGGGGTTCAGTAACATCAGTATGATGATGGTACCTTTCTTGAGTCCAGGCTGGCCAAGTGAAGTGGTCAAAATTCTGCCCTAGTGCCTGGAGGCTGGCTGGGTTTGGATGGGGAGGAAATGTCTCTAACTCAATCCTACCAAGACCGAGTGCCTGTGAGTGTTTGGACCACCCAGATCTGGGGATAATCCAACTTCGACTTTGTATGGAGTTTCATCAAGGATAGTATCTAATCGGGAACATGGGCTCACAGCTCCTGCTTATTGAGCAGGTGCCAGCAGGAAGGCCTTTTGCCCAGTTTCATCTGATGCAAACAGTTGTGCCTTTTCCTAAATGGAGGGGTCCTTCAGTCAATCACTTGTGCCTCTATCACTTCACTCCTTGACTACTGCAATGATGTCTACATGGGGCTGCTCTTGAAGACCACTTGAAAGCTTCAGCTCGTCCAGAATGCAGTCACACAGGCAGTGATGGTTTTGCCGCAATATGTCTATGTAACACCTCGGCTTTGTGAGCTGCACTGGTTGCCAGTTTGCTTTGGGGTGAAATTAAAAATATTGATTGCTACCTATAAAGCCCCACATGGCATAGGGCCTAGTTATTTGAGGGACTGCCTCTCTCCCATAGTATTGTTCAACTGGTTCAATTTGGCAGGGTCGATGCACTCTAAGTTCCATCCATTAAACATTTCCACTTATTGGGACTCTGGAAGGGTGCTTGCTGTCGGGAATGAAGCTCCCCCTGAAATTTAAATGGTCCCACCCTGCTGGTGTTTCAAAGGGCCTTAAAGATCTGGCTCTTCGCCCAGGCCTTGGGAGAGCTCCTTTCTTCCTTTCTGTTCCCCTCTGGGTTTGTTTTCTTTGCTATCCTTGTTCTTTTGTCTTGTGCTGTTTTCACATCGTTCTTCATTCTTTAAAAATGTTTAACAATTATAAATGGCTCAGAATCACTTTATAAATATAGTAAAATTATTCTCAGTTTCAACAATGCTGACTTCAAAGTAAAAGTTAAAAGGGTTTCACTGACGATCACCTATCTAACAGAGATAGAAAAATCTTTTTTTTTTCCTCCGCTTTAAGCTCTGTGAATATGGAGTTGTCCTACGTAAAGGCATACCATCTTGGAAGCATTTAACATAGGCGATGCTGATGCCACCAATCTCAGAGTCACTGAAACGTAACAGGAAAGTCCCAGCTGGCGCATTGCTCAGGTAATTGAAAACATATTGCTTGCTGACAAAGCCCATGATCAATCTGCATGAACAAAACAGACAGATAAAGGAAAAAAATACCAGAGGAGAAAATCAATAATCAACACTGCAGGGTTTAGAGAATTGTAGTAATGGCTGAAAGGAAAAATTGCACCCTTCTGATTGTGAAACTGGAAAAAAAAACTAGCTGAAATGTCTTATTCTGTGAGTATCAGTATAGGCCAGTATCCAAACTCAAATGACTTGGTCAATAAATATACTTTCTTATACTGAAAAAAAAAATTGGGAGAAAAACAAGTTCTCTTTTCAGACTTTCACTCCTAATTCAATTTTATAATGATTATTTTTTTACACCCAACCTTTTATCTTTTACAACTCAAGGCCATCTACATAATGCTCCCTTTTCCTATTTTCCCCACAGCAAAAATGCTATGAAAGTTTAGGCTGATGGGTAGTGACTAACCCAAATTCACCCAACCGGCTTTCATACCTAAGGCAGGACTAGAACTCAATCTCCTCACTTCTAGTTCAGCACTTTAACCACTGCACCAAATTGAATTATCTAATGCATCCTGGTTTTGATCCATTTATTTTCTTACCTGTCAGACCAATAGTTCTTCAGGTATTTCTTGGTGAGGTCAAGAATGCCTTCAAACCATTGCCAAAATGTGAATCCTCTACCGGGAAGCATCTCCTGTAAGTTACAAGGTGAGGGTGAGAAGCAGATGACACTAACCAGATAAGCTCAAAAGGCTATCATATCATCCTTCTAACAAAACCCATGGAGAGACCTTATTGAATTGGGACCAAGACACGCGGCATCTCTGCAGTTCCTCTAGAGTGGTGATGTTGTCACCAAAGATCTTCTGGGCCAAGAAGAAATAATGATCCTTGAGTAGACCTTTTGTGGTTTGCACCTCAGCAAGGAACTTCTGATTGAGAGTGTCATACATTGCCTTCCAGCTAACACTCTCAGCCACCACAAAGGGAATACGATCCTGGAACAGATCAAGAGAAACAGCATCTATCACATTCCTGCTATAAACTGTAGCAGGCAACAGTACTCGGTATCCTATATTTTCCCAAAGGCTGATCTGGTACTAAAAAATAACCCTCATTAAGAACAGAAACTCTAAATCTTACCTTGGTTTCACACTGCCTTATCAATTTGTGTTTAGCTGGTTTATAGCAATAGCAATAGAACTTAGACTTATATACCGCTTTACAATACTTTACAGCTTCTCTAAGCGGTTTACAAAGTCAGCATATTGTCCCCAACAATCTGGGTCCTCATTTTATCCACTTCGGAAGAATGGAAGGCTGAGTCAACCTTCAGCCTGGTGAGATATGAACTGCCAAATTGCAGGCAGCCTGCAAGCAGCAGAAGCTTGCAGTACTGCACTCTAACCACTGAGCTACTGTGGCTTATACCAATGGAACTATGATTAGGTTTCCATGTTGCAATTCAGCCTGAAATACAAAAAGCCATGGAGAAAGTTTATCTCAAAAGTTTCCTTTACAGAAACTGGCACAATGGTGGACTGAGAAGCCACTGTACATGGCCCCCAAGTTCTTCAGATTTTACAAATGGCAGGAATAATTTTAGTTTGTGTCTTACTTTCTTTTGAGAATTTTCGGCAGTATCCATGATTTTCCTCAATCTTTGCTCTTCTAAACTCATCCAGTGATTTTCATGAATGAGTCAGAATTTATCCCTGAATTTAACTGCCCCACCAGATCCTCTCCTACTGGTATGGTAGGTATTATAGAGAGGCTCTAGGCTGGAGATGGGGAATCTGTGGGCAGATAAGAGGTTGCTTGAACAGCATCCTTTTTTTTTTTAAACAAGCTGGCTTAGATTTCTGGAGGCTCACAGGTTCAAACCCTTCCCCTAAGGAAAGTGCAAAAAAAAAAAAAAATAATCCACACTTTTTTTTACAATTAAATGTCTACATTAAATTCTTCCCTTAATGATTAGCAGTCTTAGTCTGCACCTTTCACTTACGGGAGTAGCAAAGGCATTGTCCCATAAGATGGTGGCTTTGGCATTGTTGTCCTGATTTCCATGGACAATCACCACAACCGGCAGCGACAGAGCCTAGAACGGCAGGAGGGAACAAAAAGTTGTAGTTAACGACTGATGGATGATTTTCTTTAAAAGTGGCCTGCTGTCTTCACATTTGTCTCTGACTGATCAGCTTAGAACCCCTGGTTACATGGATCTATGTACCAAAATCTATCCTGAGCTCTTAGCTGGAGTGTTTTTGTGCAGGCCTAAACCAGTTTTAGGGGAACACAGCAGGGCAGGAAGTGACTACATGAAGGAGAAGGCCAGCTACCTGAAGCCTTCCTCTACTGTAACATATTGAACAAAAGGGTTTAGGATAGGAACCCCACCAAATTGACATTTTTTGCCAACTTTCTCTACTCTTCTCAGCTTTCATAAGCTCCTGATCTTCTAAGAAAAGCAAGGTATTCAAATCAGACCTAAGGAACTTATAATAAAGCTCAATTCCACTCCAAGATGGGAAAGGTGGTGCAATACAGACAGAGGCCCTATTAGATCCTGTGAAGCGTGTATATGTGTGTGTGTGTGTTTGTGTGTGTGTGTCTGTTGTTGTAATCTGGGGGCTTAATGCATGATTAATAACCTTATTATTGGAAACAGAATTGTTGCCAAGTTCTATTGAAAGAACCCTGGGGCAAGAGAGGGAAATTTGCATGGATTGAGAAAAACATCATAGAGTCGATCAATCTTGATACTGCTCCATTTGCGAGTGTTTCTTCTCATGGCAGGGTGTATGCATCCAATTATTCCTCCCACAAGAGCACTACAAAACTTTCTTGTTGCCAGACCTAGACATCTGCATCCCATTTGTATCTCTGGTGCCAAACTGCTCAAGAGGAGAGAGAGGGGACGGTGAACGGCACTAGCGGCATTTGGATTTTTTACAGAGGCTTTGCCTAATCTATTTGTATGTGTGTGTCTCTCTGTCTCAAGGGAGCAATAAACCAGCAGCATGTTACATCTCTAGTGCTAAGAATAATATAAGCTCTACCCTACCCTACCCTCCCCCCTCCCCGCATGGTGTTGCTACCTTTAGGTGGAAGTTGGTTTGGTTTGGTCCAAGGCAAATGGTGGTACTGAAGAGGACAGCACATTTCTCTTCTGTTACGGATTCTGTACTCTTGCGGTCACAACGCTTGATCTTTTTGAGAAGCTGAAAATGAGAAAAGGAAATCTCTGTTGGCTTAAGGGAAAATCTGTTCCAAATCTTAGCTCTCCGTTTATAATTTTTGACCCCCCATGGACTTCTTGAATGACAAAGTTCACCAAACATGCTTCTAAAGAAAGCATCTCTTGTAGGGCTGAGTAATCATTTGGATTTGAAGGAGAAAAGGGGATTCCCAGCCATGGGACACTGCCACCTCTCTCAGTGACTCCTTAAAGAAGCCATATTTTCCCCTGGGCTTGCACAGCTGCTGCACAATCTTAGGAAAAGATACATTTGGTCTAAAGCAAGGGTCTTCAAACCTGGCAAGTTTAAGACTTGTGGACTTCAACTCCCAGAGTTCCTGAGCTAACATGACTGGAAGAGGAATTTTGGGAGTTGAAGTCCACAAGTCTTAAAGCTGTCAAGTTTGAAGACCCTCTTGTCTAAGGAGATGCCAATGTGGGCAACGTGAACATCTTTTGAGCACACCAAATCACCCTTTCTTTTTTTTGAATCTGGATCCCTGTGCAGCCCAAAGGAATACTCATTCATAGAATTTTATAGACGTCTTTGATTTACATTTGTAAGCTTTCATTAAGTTGGGAAAGGTAGAAAAGCTGCGGATTCCTTTTGATTTATACAGCAACAGCTGTTGGTCTGCGCATGAAATACAATGAAATGAGGATTTAAAAAGCTACAGTCCTGAAGATGGGAGAAATCACTTTTTAAAAAGTTCCCTTACAAGAAGGAACTTGGATCAGAATTGTCTTCCCTGCTGCACCCATTTTCCTCTTATAGGTATCTAGACGGGAGAGTATTATCCCCTCTGGCAGTCTGAAGGGATATACCACTTCGTACCACTTCCAGGATCTTGTCACGGTGCAAGTGTGAATCAGATCTGAGCTACACCATCCCAAATGATGGCTGACACTGCTACATTTCTAAAGTTAATCATGGTGCAACCTGACCAGGATCTGAATGTGAGTTGCTTCTGGGGTGTCAACCATCCCACGGGTTTGAGACGGCAAAGGAGACATCTTTTACCAAGGGTATATCTTTACTGAAAATTCCATGTGGGTATAGAAGTGGAAAAGCCGGTTCTAACATTTTCGTGCACAAATAGCATAGGGAAACTCCTCCCACTGTCCATTGTCCAGCCAATGGGTTACACTCGCATTGTTTTAGGGATGGTCTTTCTGCCTTTTTCCCAGCTGATGGCCTTGGGGAGCTGGATCAGTCTCAGGCTTCAAGCTGGCAGGCTTGCATTCCTGTACCTTCCCCAATGCCTTCTCCCCCGCCCCAATCTAGTTGCAAGCAGGATTTGCGTCGCAAGCCGAGCAGGGTTTGCGTAGCAAGCCAGCCACGACATGGGGATTTCTTGAAAACTGGTTTGAGCTTACACACACATGCATAATGACAGAGAAGACCAACACCTCACCGCCCCCCTCCCGCCCAAATTTTGCTTTCTCTGTAATTTTTTGGGTAAGTTGCTTCCCATCCCAATTTACAGCCTATCTCACCAGTTAGGCTGTTTGAATTCTCTCCTACTCACTTCTTCTCAATCCACTTACCAAATTTTTGAACTGAGCAGTACAAGAATTGCTGGAGGCATTTATATCCAGTGACGCTGTGTTGTTTACAATCTCTCCAGTGCTTTCACTGAAGTCAAAAGGAAAACAGAGATCATAAGCTGGTTCCTTTACTATCAGGAAGCAATTATTCATTGTGACAAACTCAGCTTTGAAGCCGAGAGTTCCCACTCTAAAATTTGTTTATGTGCTGTAGAGAAAACAGTTCTCCTATGGATAAACACTGGAACTAATCTTGTCTTTATAAAATATTTCATTTTGAAACATTAGTTCAAAGAGAAGAAACAGCCCACCACAATATAGTTGTAAGTCTTCAACTTTGCTGTGTCTCCCAAGGTCATGTGATCCACCTTTTGCGACCTTCTCACAAAAGCAAAGTCAATGTGGAAACCAAATTCACTGAACAACCGGGTTACTAACTTATCAACTGCAGTGATTCACTGAACAACTGTGGCAAGAAAGGTCCTAAAATGGGGCAAAACTCACTTAACAAATGTCTCACTTAACAACGTTGTCAAGAAATAACAGAATGACTGCTTTTTAAATTGGAGACTAATTGGTGCACATAATTTCAACTACTACTAATTTTCCCTCTCGCGCTCAGTGTTTTCATATACCTAAATTTATCTTTTACCATATTATTAAGAATAATTTCAAAACTTCTCTGGGAAAACTATTATGATGCATTTCTCTTATCCAGGTATCATTTGAGTTGAAGATGAACTTTATTCATTTAGTTACTTCACCCTCTCCACCTTCACAAATTTTGTATGCAATGACATTTCATTTTAATGTATGTCAATTGGTGCACATTCAAAGTGACAATAAAGCTATTCTAAGTCTAATTCTAAATCTTCTGTAAATTACTACAGATACCCATTAGTTACATGAGATAAATCATTCCTCATTTTGGCAGCTCTTCTTTCTCTTTAAGACAGCTAGAGAAGAGTGAAACAGCTTATATGTGGAGCCCTGAAAGTATATTTCAAAGCAATTCCTTGAACAGTTTGTTGTGAAATTTTCTCTCTGCCTAAGATCTGCATTTAAGAATCTATGCCTTGGTTCCCTTCTCACCCCAAATACATTCTTTAAAAAAAAAGAAACTTGGAAACAAAGCCACCAGGAGAGATACACCGAGGCTGCAATGGTATCTCTCACCGAAAGACGGAGGCAGAATGGTTGGCAGTCAGTTCCCGGGCCTGTTTCTCTGTCACAATGTCAGCCGTGACCAGAAATGATGTTGCCGGATGCTTGAGTAACTGAGGTCCCAGCAGGAAGCGGACACTGGCTTGAAATTTGGTCTGCGTTTTTAAAACTTGCGGAGGCTGTTTTTCCACCAAGAAGGAACTGGAAGGGAAACACCAGGCTCAAGCATGAGAAGAGCTAGTTCTGGGAACAGCAGCAACAGGCTTTAATATTCACTCTACTCCCTTCCCCATCCATATTCATTAAAGACAGCAGGCAGGGGAAAAAAATTGGTTTAGGATGGGAAGAGCAACTGGAGGCTCCCTGGGAGGTAAAGCCCTGTGTTTCTAGACATCTGGCTCCACTCCTCCGGTTGTATATCATGCAAGTTATACAGAATCAATATAGGATTTAATATATTCAGGTTACATCAAAAAGGATTACTTGTACCAACTCCCCCCCCTTCTTCTTCCATTGAAGAATGGCAGATACATGGATCTGACAGCATGTTAAAAAGTCAAAAGCGTCTGGAGTGAAGTACACACATTGATTTAGACAAGTTTATAAACTGATATACAACTGAAACAAAATGTTCCTTTTGGGACTGATGGTCAAACAGGTGAGCAAACACTTATGGGAGTTTGTTTCCATATTTGATAACAGCAACAAGACTTTTATATGCACATCACCTAATGGATCTGACATTACCTAGAATGGAAGAATGGGTGGGGAAGTTGATGGAGATGGCTCAGGGGGCAAGATTGACAGCTTTGATTAGAGAAAACAATTAATTAATTAATTTGGAAGCTCCTTTTGGATTTTTTGGCATGAAACACAAACAAATGAAATAGTGACATAAGGATTTGATAACTAGAAAAAATAAATAATAGAAAAAACTTGCAAACTTATGTTGCAAACATAGAGTAAGAGTCTTTGTAAATTTATGCTCATACTTGCTGTAGAGGAAAAAAGGAAGTCTTTGTATGTCTTTTTCATTCTGCACTTTTGACTTTTTCTATCTTAATAGTTTTTGTTGTTTTATCTCTCTATTTTAAACAAACCAAATAAAGTCATCTCAAAGTGCAGTGTGCAAAGAAACAGAAGAAACAGAAATACCCATCTGGTGGGAGAAGATCGTATAAACAGATTATAAACAACAGTATTGCATTGTGGCCAATATAATTCACTGGAACATCTGTATCTGTATTATCATGTGCTAGTAATGAAAAATTTATGAGAGACATAAGTGACCAAATATTGTGAGATTTCCAAGTACAAACTGATAGTCTTGGCACATTGCAAGATTTGTGGTTGCAAAGAAGAAAATGTAGATAATTAAAGTGGTGATATCAGGGGATAACAGAATAGAAGACTAAGAATCTAAAGGTATCAAGCTCTGAAAATCAAAGTTGAAAGATGGCATAAACTGATGGTGTTGGTCCCAGTGGTTATCAGCACATTGGGTACTATCCCGAAAAGTCTTGGATGGCAATTAGAAAACCTGCACATTGATAACATTTCCATCTTTCAATTACAAAAGACCGCACTACTTGGATCCAGGGGTTGGATTCAGCCAGTACAGACCGGTTCAGGCAAACTGGTACTTCTGGCGATGAGTTGGCCCCACCCACCCACCCCTGCACTAGTCTGTCCTATATTTCCTTTGTTTGAAGCCCAGTGATAGGCACGGCAGAGCGGATTGCCGCGCTTCAGCTGTTTTACTCACCGGGGCTGCAGTAGAAGTTAAGTTTTAGAGCTGTTTTCAAATGCACTGCGTGTGAAGCGCACGTCCGCATGCACTCAGTGAACTGGTTGTTACACCAGTTGAATCCCATCACTGCTTGGAATCACACATATACTACACCAAAACCTTATGACATCCTACTTCTTGGGAAGGACTTGATGTGTTTGAGGGCCAACGCCAGCTAAAGAACCGGCAGGTGCCATTGCTGTGTTATATAATAATGACCAATATTAATGTAGTTTTAGCCTTTGTATGAATAACTTCTTGGTAGGTTCTATGCAGCGGGGCCAATGTTAATCCTGCAAATCTGACTATACTGTAATGAGGAAGTCCTCGTTCAGCAACCACAATTGGGAGCAGCAAGTTGGTCCTTAAGCAAAGTGGTCACTAATTATAAAATCACCTGACTGCAACTGTGTTTACAATGTTACTTTGGCTTCCCCTTCTTTTATAGCATCAAAGGGAATACGACCCCAAACAGCTAGAAGAGCATAAATGGTGCAAAAAGCAGGGAAGGTTTCCAGAATTCAACTCACAAGGAAGTTGGGTAAAAGGGAAATTCTTATCCTTTTTCCCCATTCTCTCATCCTTTGGCATGCTCACCCTGGTGTCAGGACAACTAGCATGAAGAAGATTAATGTTTACATTGAAATTAATGGGAAAGACAGGGTTAATGGGTAGTCCTCAACTTATGACCAGTCATTTAGTGACCATTTGAAGTTATGCTGGATCTCCCCGGAATTACTTACAACCCAGTTCCAATGGCTGCCCCTTCTGCAGTCACATGATTGCATTGTGAGGTGCATGACAACCAACCCACGTTTATAGCCATTTGCAGAGTGCGGCAGTTACGTAACTTGTGATATTTTGGCTGTAAACCAGTGTTTACTTCTGATTTTCAGCAAATAAAACACCCATGCAGTATAATATGTTTGCGTAACAAATGCCATGTTTGCTTGATGACCATCAGTTTACTTAACAATGCTATCACTTAACCACAATTTTGGACACAATTATAAGTGTAAGTGGAGGACCATTTGTACAACAGAGTGAACTCCAGCTCCTGCTTGAAATGGACAAGACCTAATGAATTTCACCTGCAAACCTTTTGTTCTCACCCTAAGTGAGCAGCACTAGGCAATCAGCCAGTGCTAGCACATTCCTTTCAGTATATATTTCCTATTGTCCGCCTGCTTACTCTTAGTAATTATCAACAGATACGCCTTACATAATATGAGAAGAAGCTTTAGTTGAAAGGGAGACTGACTTTCAGAGATTGAGCGAAAAGTGCTGGAGATTGGGGGATGTCATGAGATGAAATCTAGCCAACAGGAAGCCAAAAGATCAGGTCTATTAAGTTCTGCTAACTAGAGATTGACACAGGTTTAACATGAGAGTGAGAAAATGAGGCTGGTATATATTTAGCCAGAATCCATACATGCAGAAAGACATGTTTGGTCTACAGGTTGAGGTGTCAGGCTAGAAAGCAGAGGACTGTGAGTTCCACTCCTGCCTTAGCCATGAAAACCAACAGGGTTACTTTGGGCCAGTCACTGTCTCTCAGCCCAATCTACCTCACAGGATTGCTGTGGGGAAAATAGGAGGAGGTAGGTGTGTTGGATATGTTCACTGCCTTGAGTTATTTGTAAAAAATAAAGATGGGATACAAATAAATAAAAATAAATAAATGTTCAAGGAGGAAAACTTAAGCTTCATCATTTTCAAGAGTATAGAAAAAAAAACAGTTAAATTACTTTAGGGACCCTAGTGGTGCAGTGGTTAGAATGCAGTATTGCAGGCTAACTCTGCCCACTGCCAGTTCGATCCTGACTAGGCTCAAGGTTGACTCAGCCTTCCATCCTTCTGAGGTCAGTAAAATGAGAACCCAGATTGTTAGGGGCAATAGGCTGACTCTGTAATCCACTTAGTGAGTAAAGCATTCTGAAACTCTACATAGATCAAATGCTATTTATAGTTAGAACTGCAGCGCCTTGAAATGGGGAGAAGGAGACAGAAGAGGGGTTAGCAGCTTTAGTCGTTAACCACTGTTGCAATGATGAGGCAGTCGAGGTGTTTGATCATGATCACATGAATCATGATGACTTTATTGGAGTCTAGTCTTGTATTTATACACATTTTTAGTAATCCTCTAACATTGGTTAACTTTGGTTGTTGCTCAACCTTTGTTACTGTCTAGCATAGTAATTAACACAATTAACTATCTCTAGTTAAAGTTTAACACGTTTACTTCCTCTCTCTAATCCTTCTTTGCATTAGTGATTTTGTTTTGCCTGACTTGTATTTGCTTTTGTCCTTATCTGAGGTTTGCCATCAAGATAATGACTTTCCTGCAATTACAACTCTACAAACCACCTTGCTGGTTTTGCCAAAGAAAATGATTGGGAAGTCAAAAATAATTGCAGAACAAATATTTGCTTTTTTTGTCAAGGTATTTGAACAAAAGTGAAATACAAACAAATGGTTTTCTGCTCTTTTTATCAGATCATGAAAGTCACAGAAACCTACCAGCCACATGCTGCCTACATTATTTAATTATTAGAATATGAATATTAGTAAATCAAAGAGAAAATTCCAAGAAAATATCTTTGGTCGCAGGCCATAAACTTGGACTAGGCAGATCTCAAAAAAAAAAAAAAGTTCAACGACTAATATACACAAATATTCACGATACTGGGACTATGATTTCCTCTGAATATCTCAGAAAATAAATGAAGATGAATGACATTGGATTTTTGTACATGTTAGGAGAGAAAATACTCGTAATTCATTAGCTCTAACATATCTATCAATCTAAGATATAAACAATGAAAGACGTATTCAATTAGAAAGATAGAAAAGGCTTCAGGGTCACCGCAGACAATAATCCCCATACTAGGCATAGCATAAGAGGAGACACCAGTGGGGAAAGAAAGCACTTCGAGAGAGGGATTCTCCTTACTTTTGTATAAGAGAGTTGAATGCATCATCAAGATGTTCTCGAATATGAGATTGAAGCTCAATTCCAGACGTGATCAACTGCTGGCGAAACTGGAACAAAATATCTACCAGGGATTCCAACCTGTTAGAAACATGACAGATTTATCTCCCAGACTGAAATCCCACATCCATCTAAACCAAGATTATCTAAGTTCCAAGAGTCAAGCAAACTTTTCAAGGGGTATAGCAGTCACTTTTTACCAAGCACTAAAGATGGGCCCTGCTTTTATGTTTGTTAAGGGTTAAAACAAACTTCCCTAACTTTTGCCTTCCAAAAGTTTTGGACTACAGCACAATTCCGTTATTTCCCAGCCAACGTGGCATTAGGCTATAGCAGATCCTTCATGATCAACAACAATCAAGCACGAATACTGGACTCATGGCTGCCCCATCTAGAAGGGGTTCTACGTTCACGTGCAGTTTCGTAAAGTATGTATAACAAAATAACAGAATTGGAGGGGACCTGGTAGGTCATCTAGTCCTGCCCAAGCAGGAGACCCTACACCATTTCTGACAGATAGCAGTCCAGTCTCTTCTTGAAAGTTTCCAGTGATGAAGCATCCACAACATCTGAAGGCAAGCTATTCCATGGGTTGATTGTTCTCATTGTCAAGAAAACTTCTCCTTATTTCTCAGTTAAATCTCTCCTTGATCAGTTTCCATCCATTACTCCTTGTCTGACCTATTTGGAAAATAGGTTGACCCCCTTCCTCTCTGTGACAGCCCTTCAAGTATTGGAACATAACACAGCTATCATGTCTCCCTGGATCTTTCTCTTCACTAGACTACCCATGCCCAGTTTCTGTATTTTGCTTTTATGTTGAGAGCGATATAAAGGATACAAGGAGTATCCACTTATAGGAGTATCCTTACTCCTATCCAAGAAGTAATAGCTACTAAAATATTGCCAATCAGATGGGGTGTGGAATAAAAACGATCAATGGTTGGGACTGGGTTCAGTATCTTGGTTCAATAGTCGGGATTGGGTTCAGTATATTGGATTCAGATTGGGTTCATTCATGCAGAGCTCTTGATCGCTCTGCATGACTAGTGAACCAAGAGCAAGTATAACACATAGTAAACATGCAGAATATAGCTATAAGAAGCCAGTGTGATGTAGTGGTAAAGACATCACCTAGAATCCTGGAGCTGTGAGTTCTAGTCCCACCTGGGGCACAAACCCAGATTGGCAACCTTCAGTTAATCCTTCTCTCTGAACCCTAGGAGGTAAATCACTTCCAAAAGAACCTAGTCAAGAAAATTGCAGGGAACTAGTTCAGGCAATCGCTATGAGAGGACATGTACAAATCTATTCAGCTTGCATTATCAATACAAGCTGTAGAGTTTAGCTCTTTTTTTTTTTTAAAGTTGAGCTGAGTACTGTATACAGCAGGGGTGTCAAACTCAAGGCCTGGGGGCTGGATCTGGTTCATGGGGTGCTTAGATCTGGCCCACAAGGATGCCCTGGAAACAGCAAAGGACCAGCCTCTGCCAGTGAAAATGGAGCTCAGGAGGGCTGTGTGCGGCCCTCCTGAGCTCTGTTTTCACTGGCAGAGGGTTGCAGGAGGCCGTTGCAGCTGAAAATGGAGCTTGTGAAGGCCATGGGCGGCACTCCCAAGCTCCATTTTCACTGGCAGTGGGTTGCAGGAGGCCATCACAGTTGAAAATGGACCTTGTGAGGGCCATGGGCGGCACTCCCAACCTCCGTTTTCACTGGCAGAGGGTTGCAGGAGGCCGTTGCAGCCGAAAACAGAGCTTGGGAGCCCGTTTTCGCTGGCAAAGCACTCAGACCACCACAGGCGCCCCCAACATGAATGATATGGAGCTGGCCATACTCATCCTGGCCACCCCCTCCCCACCCCCCACAAGGTCAAACACAACCCTGATATAGCCCTCAATGAAATCGAGTTTGCCACCCCTGGTATAGAGGTTAGAAATTTTCTTTTGCTTGATATGTAGGCCACTTCATGCATTCAGGATCTGACAAGCAAATGTAAAGATTTACACTTCTATCAACACCACTAGATCCCTCTAGATATGGTAACATTAACCACAGACCTCTATTAGGGAACGTAGATTCATAAGAGACATTGCCATGACAATTTTGCATTCAACTGCTTCTTTAAGCAGCATTAAAAGTTGGGTTACTAAACTACTGACAGATTTCGAATGATAACGTCTCATCTGACAAAAAGGTAACAACTCACCTCTTTTGTAGCGGGGACAAGTCCTCATCAAATGGACTTCCATTCCCAGCCAGTTGCTGCTGCCTCTTCCAAATCAGAAGCCTCATTAGAACCTTCTTCTTGGTGTCTTCTAGCTCATTGTCCATCGTCATGAACAGTCCTTGAAGGCTTTGAAGAGACTAAGAAAAGGGATACATGAGTACATATGCAGAAAATGACATTGTCTGGTATGTGAGATATGCAGTGGAGAACTCTGTTAGGGCATGCATATTGTGTGATTGCTAGGAAGAGACATAGATAGCCCACATGTAGAACTTGACCCAACATGTCAACATGTTTATTTAGAGCTTGGGAAAGCAATATTTTACACTGAAGGGTTTGAGGCATTCCAGACATTCCAGCCCAAATTACTATTCCATTATTATTTCTTAATAGGGCTGAAATCAATGAGTTGTGTGTGTGTGTGTGTGTGTGTGTGTGTGTGTGTGTGTCTGAATTGAATGGAAGAAAATATCTATGTGTATGTGTGCGTGAGAGAGAGAGAGGGAGGGAGGGAGGGAGAAAGAGAATCAACACATGAAGGAACTGGGGAAAGCGACAAAGAGATAGAAAGAAAGAAAATCAAAAACAGAAGACAAATTTCCATCCACTTTTAGCTTTGGCTTTCTCTACTCTGAAAAACATACATCCTACGGCTATTGAGGTGCTTAACCTCTCATTTTTTATTTAGAAAAAATAGGTTTTTAGCCTGAATGCTTGGGAGAAGCAGCCTGTGAAGCTGAACTGAACAAATACAAACAATATTGCCATTACAAATCAGAAGCCATATATATATATTTAGTTTTATGCAATTCTTCTCTCTGGGCAACCTCTTCATCATTTTTACTCCAGCTAAATAGTCAGACAGCTGCAAGAGAATAATGGGCTGCATTCTTTGACTGGTTACAAGGCTGATACAATTTTAGTTTTTTATATATACAATATCAGAAATTCTCATTTGTCAATTTGTTTGATTCTTTTTCAATGGGAGTGCTTCGGCTCTAATCCACAGGAGCTCTTGTAGCCTTCAAAGTAATTTTAAACTTGATAGAGCAAAGCTGTATTTTCTTTTTCTTTAAGGATACAAATTCCTGGTCTCAGGCACTACAGGGCCCAAGTTTTGACAACTCTGTTGGTATTTAAAAATTCATCGGTCAGGGTGAACATCAGTTTTTTTTAGTCCTTACTCAAAGTGGGGAATTTATCTGGCTCTTGGAAATGAAGGGGAATTCTTTCCAATGGGATGAGGGGGTGTAACAACCTTATTAACGCTTCGATTTCTGCAAGTCTTTCCAAGAAATGGTTCTTGGTCTTTTAATTTCCCAAAGATCAATATTTGATATTTACAGTGCAATTCTGTGCGTGAGTGTAAGATCTCTTTTTTTACCTTTAAGCTAAACAAAAATTTGTGTATAGGATTGCAGTCTTAACCTTATTTAATTGCTATATGATAACAACAACAGTAATTTCAGTCCATATACATGCTGAACTATTTAAAAGCCTGTGGAATTGCCCCAACTGCTTGGAGTTTGAGGAACTTGTTTTTGAAATGGAGATTAGAAAACCAATCAATTGGCAATGTGTTATTTGATCCAAATCAAACTGTCACCATTTTTCCAGTCTCCAAAGAATGGGCTACATTCAGTTTAGTTGTCTGGAATGGAGCAGAGGATTGGACTAGGCCCAAGGTCCCTTCCGACTCTGTAATTCTGCTCCTTCAGCAATTTAGAGTATGAATAAGCTGCAAAAAGACTATTTTCCTGCACCAAACACATTTGCTTTGGGTGCCATTTCAAATACCATCCCAGACCAAAGAAGACAGAGAACTTTCTAATACCACCTCCTGTTACTGATTAATCCAGAGAAGGCCAATTTTGTTATCTTTTTATACCAAGCAACTTTTAACCTGTGTTTGTTTAGACCAGTGGTTCCCAAAGTGGGCAATACTGCCCCCTGGGGGGCAGTGGGATGCCTTAGGGGGGCGCTAAGAGGCAAGGGGGCTGGCAGGGGGCACTAAGAGGCAGCAGGGGGGCATTCAAAGTGCCGGCTCCACAGCCTCCGGTGCAACAGTCAATGGGGTGACCATTGACTGTTGCACCGGAGCCTGTGGAGCCGGCGCCTCGAATACCCTCCTGCTGCCTCTTAGCGCCCCCAAGGAAGTGAGGTAAAAGCGCATGCGCCGCCTCGTAGTTGTGTCACTGGAATTACATAGGGAGGACTTTCGGCATGTTGAGCGTTCCTGGTCAAGGCGAGTGTCGGGAGGTTTTGCTTGGTTGGCCAAGGCCTAGAAGTCGGTGCGAAGCGATGTCAGGGATTACGGGAGGTGGGACAGGCTCTTCTCGGAAGCGGCTGCTGAAGGGAGGGTGCTAAGAGGCAGCAGGGGGGTGTTCGAGGCGCCAGCTCTGCAGGCTCATCCCACTGACTGTTGCACCGGAGCCGGCGCGTTGAATGCAGCGGCGGCAGCACATTGGGAAAGTCACTTTGGCTTTTCTCTACTTTCCCAAAGTGCCACCACTGTCGCATTCTGTCTGTCTGTCTGTCTGTCTGTCTGTCTGTCCATCCATCCAAAAGGTCTTCCTGCCTGCCTACCTGCCTGCCTGTCTTTTTGTCTACCTACCTACCTACCTACCTACCTACCTATCTATCAAAATAGATCTATCTACCTACCTACTTATCCATTCACCCATCCATCCAAAAGCTCTGTCTGTCTGTCTTCCTGCCTGCTTGCTTGCCTGCCTACCTACCTACCTATCTATCCATACATTCATCCAAAAGGTCTGCCTGCCTATCTATCTATCTATCTACCTACCTACCTACCTACCCATACATACATACATCCAAAAGGTCTGTCTGTCTTCCTGCCTGCCTGCCTACCTACCTACCTATCTACCATACATGCATCCAAAAGGTCTGCCTGCCTGCCTGCCTGCCTACCTACCTATCTATCTACCAATCTCTCTCTCTCTCTCTCTCTCTCTCTCTCTCTCTCTTTCCATCCATCCATGTTCGAAGCGCACGCCCCACAGGCACATCAGGAAAGTAGAGCAAAGCAGTCTGGGAGGGAGGGAGGGAGAGAGAGAGAGAGAGAGAGGCCTGATGCATCAGATTGAAATGAGGCCCAGTTTAGACTGAGGCCCTTTTCCACACTGAAACATCTTTGCCAGCACATTGAAACATCTTTGGCTTCTATTAAAGGTTTTGTGGACCAAACATGGTCAAGACTATCAGGAAACTCTCACATTTTGTTGAGGCTATAAACAGGATCCATTGGATCAGATCTCCTCCCTAAAAAATTACTTTTCCCCAATGTATTACAGTGACAATTCTGAAGAAGGCAAAACCAAAATGTACTGGTAAATTACAAGGAGAACACACACACACTCCCTTCTAACCCTGCTGGAGCAGGTGATTGGACTAGAATAAATATCTCATTATCTTTCTCCTCCCTCCCTGCCTCCTTCTTTATTTCTTTTTCTTTCTGTCCCTTCACGGCAGTGGCTGCACGTTTGAAAAGTAGAGCAAAGCCAGAGGTCGGTAATTTTTGCTGCAAAGAATCACAAAAGCTTCTGGGCTGTGCACAAGAAGGGACACACATGTCAATGCAATTCAGCAACATAAAATAAAGAAATACAAATAAAACAAATCAACAAGTATCGGCCAAGCATCTCTGATTAGATTCTATTCACTACTAGAATCTAATCAGAGATGCTTTGCCAATTCTAGTCCAATGACCTGCTCCAGCAGGGTTAGAAGGGAGTGTGTGTGTATGTGTGTGCATGGCTATCAAAACTCCAAAAACAGGTCAAGTAGCTCTGGGGAGGCCAATCATAAATTAGAACACTTGCTAAACAACCGGCCATCAAGTGAGGACCACTTGTATTTGGTTTGCCAGTTACCTGGAAGTATCTAGGCAACGTTTTGATGACGTCTCATTCATCATCTTCAGGCTTGTGTCTTCTGCTCTGTGCTTCTCAGAGAGTGCTTACTGTGCTTACTCTGAGAAGCACAGAGCAGAAGACACAAACCTGAAGATGATGAATGAGACTTCATCGAAATGTTGCCTAGATACTTCCAATCTTACGCGGGAGAAAACCCGAATAACCAAAGATCCACATATATATATATATAACACTAATACATAAAATACTCATTCTATTCCAATTTGGCTCAACCATTAATGTTAGTTACAATCTTCCATTAATATTAATTAACATCTTTAACATTTCTTTTCTATTAAATATCATACATCCTTAGGAACACTTGTAATATTTCCATACTTTTTTTCATATTTCTCTTCATCTAAATTTTTATAAATCATTAATAACAATTAAAATGTTCCCATCCTTTCCTAATTTCATTCTCTCATTCTCTTTATTTCATTTATTTATTAACAAACATTCCATTACATTACAATAAGTATTTTATCTATCACTTTAACCACACTTGTTTCATATTTTCTAAATTCATTTCTATTTCTAATATAACAATGCTATCTTATGTACCCTTGCAGAATCCTCTCTTTCAATTAAATTTTCACCCATTATCTCTATGTCTTCTAAATAGGCTTATACCTTTAATCCTTGTACGTTTTCTCTGTTTCTCTATATCCTGTTTCTGTCCTTTATAACTTCTTTTCCTTTCCTTCTTCCCCTGTTCTTCTCCCTCCCCCTTTTGACCCCTTGTCTCTCTAATTCTAATTCTCTCTTCTATAATCCTCTCTTCTGTTTCTTCCTAATATTGTAACTGTTTTTCAAACTGTTATTTTTTTGGGGTTGTTTTTACAAATCTTAAATTTTTCATTCTCTTTCCCCACTTTCCTTTTCCCCCCCACATAGAATTAAATAGAATTGATAGAATTGATCATTAAAGACGGCTTCTTCTTTGTCCCGCCCTTCTTGTTCTTCAAGCATTTCTTGTTGTTTCTCATAGTTCCAGATCTCCATTTCTAAAAAATGAAAACGAAGCCAAAAAACCCTCTTCCTTCTCGTGCATCTTCTTTCTATTTTTTAAATTCCATTTTCAGTTCTTCCAAGGGTGATGCCATTTTAAACACTTTTAAACAACCACCCAGTTGATTTTAGTCATTTAAATCCTATAACCAAAAGTTCAAAAATCACCAAGTATTCCAAATAGTCCAAAGCTGTTTCTTCTTGTTTCTTTTTTCCACTTTCTCTTCCTGGGGTTCTATTATCTTGTTACAAAGTTTCAGTTAGAATGTATTTTTAGGAATCTTTTCTTTTTTTTTGTTTTTAATAAAGTTTTATTTGGGTTTTCACACATACAAAATACAAGTAAAACATCTTTTTTGAAAATAGCATGGTCCCGGGTTGAACTTCTTTATAAAGACACAAAACTCAATTTCATGCTCCTTTTTGTATTCTATTCCATATCTTATACTTTTCTAAATTTTCTATATAGTTTTTCCCCTCTTTTAATTTTCTCAATTTTATTTTGATTACCGCATCTCAATTCAAATCATTATATTTATTCTTTTGTCTGTTCTGTTTCAATTTCATATTATCTTTTCTCATTAAACAAATTTTCTCCTGTAGTTACTAATTGGAGAATGACACCTTTATATCTTTTAATTACATCCATTCAATTCTTATTTAAACTTCAATATATACCTTAAGGTTATGACCTTCAATATAATACATAATACATAACTTCCAATTGAATTCTGCTGGTACATTCTTATAATACACCCTATATTCTTAAAAAAAAAGATTTTAATATATGTAATTATAAACCCTCATTCCATTCCAATTCAGTTCTATCATTAATAATCATTAAAATCTTAACATCTTTCACACTTCTTTTCAATTAAATATCATACTTCCTTAAAGACACATATAATCTCCATAATTAATTTTCCCTTATTTCTCTTCACATATGTTTTGTAAATCATTAAATATTCATTTTGTTACATTTATTTATTGACAAGCATTCCACTGAATTACGATAGCAATTTTATCAAATATTTTAATCACACATTGTTTCATATTTTCTAAAATTATTTCTGTTTCTAATATAACAATACTATCTTATGTACCTTTGCAGAATCCCTTTTCCATTAACTTTTCACCCATTATCTCTAAATAGGCCGTTTCTCTATATTTTGTTTCTGTCCTTTATAACTTCTTTTCCTTTCTTTCTTCCCTCTCTTCTTCTCCCTCCCCTTTTTACACCCTTGTCTCTCTACTTCTAATTCTCTCTTCTGCATTTCCCTCTTCTGTTGCTTTCTGATTTTATACTTATTTTTCACTCTATTATTTTTGGAGTTGTTTTTCCCAATCTTAAATTTTCCATTCTCTTTCCCCCCTTTCCTTTTCCCCCCCGCCTAAGATTATTTGTTCATTAAAGATGGCTTCTTCTTTGTCACAATCTTCTTGTTCTGCAGGCATTTCTTGTTGTTTCTCATAATTCCAAATCTCCATTTCTAAAAACTGAAATACGAAGCCAAAAGAACCTCTCCCTTCTTGTGCATCTTCTTTGTACTTTTTAAGTTCCATTTTCAGTTCTTCTAAAAGTGGAGCCATTTTAAACAGTTTTAAACAACCACCCGATTGATTTTAGTCATTCAAATACAATAACCAAAAATCCAGAAATCATCAAGTAATCCAAATAGTCCCAACTTATTTCTTCTTATTTCTTTTTCCACTTTCTCTTCCTGGGGTTTTTGTTGCGATATTTCAGTTAAAATGTATCTTTTGGAAGTCTTGTTGAGATTTTGCTGTAAGTTCTTTTTAATTCCAGGCAGTCTCCTCCCTTCCAGATCCTGCCCTTTTATTCTTTTTCTCTCCTTTCCTGTTTTCAAAAGTATTTGATTATCCAGAAATCTTTATTATCCCTTTGATTTTTTATTTTCAGCATTAAATGCCTATTAATGTCAAAGTGGAATTTTTTCCAATTTCTTGCTTAAGTCTCTTAGCTGTCAGTATAGGAAAAGGAGAAAAAAAAACCAAATCTTTTCCCTTTTCTCTCTCCTTCACAGCTTAAAAATCTTCTTAGGGAACAATGTTATTGTTTTTTTTTAATAGTTTCAATTCCAGGGTACCTTATTTGTTGCTTTTGCTGTTTGACCCAGTCAACCAAAACTTTCTCTTCTTATCTTCCTCCTGCACATTCTTTTCCGGTCGAGTTCTTCTTTGTAGTGGCCATTTCTGACCACCGCTACAACCGCCTTTGGGAAAGGGAGTAATGGCCAGCTGGGGAGGAGAGATGCGGCCCTCCTCAACCCTGCAGGCAGTCTCCCCCCTCTCACCACCTCTACGGGGTGGCTTAGCCCCGAAACCAGCCGGCTCGGGGCGCTCCAGCGGCGAGCACGGATCGAAGCCTCGCAGAAACGAGGTTTCAGTCTGTCGCCGAAGAAGCTCAAACCGGAAGTCCGTATTTTTAGGAATCTTGTTAAGGTTTCACTGTTAATTCCTTTTACTTCCAGGTGGTCTCCTCCATTTTTCCAGATCCCACCCTTTTGTTTTTTCCTTTTCTCTCCTTTCCTTCTTTTAAAAGTTTTTAAATATCCAAGAAATCTTTATTATCCCTTTGACATTTTATTTTCAGCTTAAATGCCTATTAATGTCAAAGTGAATTTTTTTCAGTTTCTTACTTAAGTCTCTTAGCTGTCAGTATGGGGAAGGAAAGAAAAAAAAACCCAAATCTTTTCTCTTCTCTCTCTCCTTCGCCGCTTCAGAAATCTTCTTTGGGAACAATGTTTTTATAGTTCAAATACCAGGGTACCTTATGTTGTTGCTTTTTCAGTTCAACCCGGTCAGTCAAAGCTTTCTCTTCTTATCTTCCTCCTGCACAATCTTTTCTGGTCGGGTTCTTCTTTGAGGTGGCCATTTCTGACCACTGCTGCAACCACCTTCGGGAAAGGGAGTAATGGCCTGCTGGGGAGGAGAGATGCGGCTCTCCTCAACCCTGCTGGCAGTCTCCCCGCTCTTCACCACCTCTATGGGGTGCCTTAGCCCTGAATCCAGCCGGCTTGGGGTGCTCCGGCGGCAAGCACAGATTGAAACCGCGCACAATCGCGGATTTTGATCCGTCGCCGAAGAAGCCCAAACCGGAAGTGGGTAGTCCTCAATTTCTGATCACTCGCTTAGCAGCCGTTCAAAGTTACAATGGAACCCAGAAAAGGTACTTATCAGCTGGATTCAAAGGTCCAACAGCCTCCCCCAAAACCTGCAGTCACATGACTGCATTTTGAGCATCAGCCCTCATTGACAACTGTTTGCAGTGTTCTGTGTTCAGGTGATTGTAAAATGGACGTTTGCTTCTGGTTTCCAGCAAAAAGAAAAAAAATCATTGCAGACAAGGGGTTTGTTTAATAACTACAAAGTTTGTTTAATGACTATGGAACTGTCTTTACAACCACCACATTTGCTTAGCAACAACCACTGCAAAAAAAAAAAGGTTGTAAAATCAGGTATGGCCACATGGTAACCCGCTTAACAATTGGCTCAATTTATGACTGTAATTCCAGGCTCAATTATGGTCATAAATCAATCATAGCCAGCTCAGGAATTCTGGGAGTTGAAGTCCATAAGTCATAAAAGGGCCATGGTTCCCAACTTCTGATATGGAGTCTCAATTTCTTGCTAGTTTTTCAAAAGACAAATAGAACAAAATTTGAGGACATGCTCCTCATGACCACAATGTTTTCTCAATTTCCCTTAACATAAGAAGTTATAGATGAATTCTTCCAAAAGAGGAACAATAGACCTACCATTCCAGGAAATGTTTGCTGAAATATAGCTTTCCTGAAACTCTCTTCCCCTATTGGCATGTCAATAACTTCTAATAAATATTTTATTGCACATTAAGACTCCAACCCCACAAAAATGAATCCCAACCTCACCGAGGGCCTTCTCTTACACAGATCCCCATATTGGAATATATTTTTAAATCATTTGAGATTGAAGAGTGAGCCTAAGCTAAAAATCTACCCAGTTTGCTTGAGTTTTTAATGACAATTATTATTTTTATTTATTATCTTATTGAGCAGCTTCAGTTTTTGGTTATTTTTAATAGAATTGTCACTTAAGTAGTTTAATTGGTTTTTTTTAAGACTGTTTGGAAACTGTGGACTCAGAGTATAAACAGCAAAAAAAAGAAAAGAAAAAGTAACTTTAAAAAATGAAAATAGCAAATAAACCCAAGACTCCATAATAAATTATTTGTAATGTTGGTAACTTACACTTGCTGGCAGGTTCTCTTGCATTGGAAATTGACAGTCCATTGAATTTTGTGACAGTGGAGCTGAGGAACACAAATGCAAGGTTAACAACAACTATAGAAGGTTTTCACATACAAGCTAATTATTGCACACATTTTAGGCTATTGTTTTTTCTTTCATTTATTGAAAGTTGGGCACAAAATTCCCCACTTATAGTAATAATTAGAAAAACAATATTCAGTGGATTTCCGCTGAATAATCCTTAATATGGACTATCCCACCACTTTGATAGTAGGAGTGGGAGGCAGGTATGATTGAATGGGATGAATGAATGAATGAAATTTACCAGCATCCATATTTTTCAAGGCAATAATAATATTAATAAAATAACCCTTGAACGTTATATATCCAAAATACATTTTTGAATGGGTTTATAAGGCTTTAAATTTTATATTTTAGACAGTCGCTATGTTAAAAACAAGAGTTCATTTCAGGGAAAATTTTAAAAGAAAGACCATGAGAGAAATTTGTGCTAAAAACATATTTTAGGGAAGCTTGAGCGTGCATTATAGAAACAACAAATAATAAAAAGTGAAACAGGTAGTCCACGATTGCTTCATTTAGTGACTGTTCACGGTTAGAAGTGATGAAAAAGTAACTTTATCACCAATCCTCATATTTATGACCTTCACAGTGGATAAACCAAGGGAAAGCTAAAATAGGATCATAAGCATGGTTTCTGAAGAATGGATGGAAAAAGTGACAGAGCAGGCAGAGATGGAAAATTAATTGTTTTAATTTAGGAAACAACGCATCCAGTTCTGCTTTCTAGACCGTTTTGTGCTCAGAACAGGAAAAAAAAATACAAAAATTTGGGTGATCCGATTAGTTTGCTGTTATAGAAGTGGCTAATATTCACTAATGATGTAAAAGTAAAAAGTTGATAGAACTCTATTTTGTACTTTACTGCACTGAAAAAAGTTGAAAGCCACTGCTTTTTTTTCTTTCTTCTTTACTTCTTTCCCCTTCTTTTTCCTTCCCCATGTTCTTTTTATTTTTATTTTATTTATATATATATATCCCACCTTTACTGTTTTTATAAAATTCAAGGTGTGAACACACACAATACTTTTTCTTCCTCCTGTTTTCCTCCAAAGAACTCTGTGAGCTGGGTTGAATTAAAAAAGAGTGACTAGCCCAAAGTCACCCAACTGGTTTTCATGGGAAGGCAGGACTAGAACTCACAATCTACCACTTTCTGGCCTGATACCTCATAGTTTCTTGGCTTCTAGCCTGGTACCTTAACCACTAAGCCAAACTGATGCTCTTTATTATCTTCATTTCTCTCTGTATTTGGTATCTATTCAGTTAAACTTCAATAAAAATTTATATAAGCAGAGTTGTGGTTTCATTTAGCGACCAGTTTCTTAACAACTGAGTTGAATTGCGGGTCCCAACTGTGGTCACTAAATGTACATATTTTTATCCCAATGGATGTTTTAAAATAATTCATAAAAAAGACCAATTGGAATATTACATTTTAAGTCTATACAGTGATCCAGATCAAATGACAAAAATGAATTTAGATACAGAACCCTTTAAATTAGCTGCATCTTTTCCTGGACTTGCACGGCTGTTGCCTGAAGCCGATATGCAGTCCTGGGAAAAGACTTGCTTGGTATAATGTGTTCCTGGCAGATGCTATGCACATGCCCAGACACGTTCCATTTGGCCCTTCACGTCCATATCCCTGTATGGGTTGATCGCTTTTCAAATGTTGACAACAAAATGGATCAGATATGTGCTAATACACAGATGTATCTTATCTACTGTTGTTAAATGGGAAGTGCTTCATTTATTTGTTCCTGGACAAACCCAGAGAAAACCTTCTTCTGTTTGCTTAATAATAAGTTTATCATTATTTACCAAGGCATGGTAAGAAATGAAAAAATAAACAAACAATAATTACAAATCAATCAAATAACATTAGCGAGCTTAAGACCAAGGGTATTCATAATTTGAAGCAGATGTTAATAGAAAGCTGACAGTTAAATAAGAAGAGGCTGAAATAACCAGACCATACACACACACACACACACACACACACACACACACACACACACAAAAATCCAATAAAAAGGTCTTTAAATAAGAGATGGTATTCAGCAGTTCTGACCAGTTCTGGAGAACTGGTAACGGAAATTTTTAGTAGCTTGGAGAACCAGCAAATATCACCTCTGACTGGAGATTTTACAGTATCCTTCTGCCACGCTCACAGAACCAGTAGTAAAAAAAAAAAATTTGAATCCCACCACTGCTTTAAACCCCTTTCAAAAAGTTGTAACATGTTCACAGAGAGAAATTGAGCTGATTTTAGGGTCATAAATCTAGATGCTTAAAATCCCAGAACTAATAGCTGTGGCAGAAGGAATTGAAGGAAGAAACAAAAAAAGACCCTATTTAGAAGAGCATTTAAGAAAAAACTATTGGAAGAGATGAGAGAAAGCAGATCCTGGAAAGTACCAAAATTTTAAACTTAGCTCTGATGCACATGGGAGGTAGTGAAGAACCCTGTGCTCTACTGAAACATGGGAATAATATGGAAGGCCCAGAGTAGCTCAAATGGCATCGCTCTGGATGAAGATTAGGGAAAAGAGAAAAGACTCAAAGGCAGGTCATCCGTTCTTAATTTTATGTCCTATGCAGTAAACAAAAAGACAACACTGATGCTATCAGGATGTGGCTATAACTTCCCTTGTTATCTCTTCCAACTTCTTTTCTTGCTTGCCAAAGTATTTTGACTAAATTTTTTACTCTTATCCCAGAAGATTGGGCAACTAGGAGTTAAGTGAGGGCTAATATGAATTTAGAATAGAATAGAATAACAGGGTTGGAAGGGACCTTGGGGGTCTTCTAGTCCAACCCCCTGCCTAGGCAGGAAACCCCCCACTACTTGAGACAAATGGTTATCCAATCTCTTCTTAAAAACTTCCAGTGTTGGAGCATTTACAACTTCTGGGGGCAAGTTGTTCCATTGTACTAACTGTCAGGAAATGTCTCCTTAGTTCTAAGTTGCTTCTCTCCTTGATTAGTTTCCACCCATTGCTTCTTTACCCTGCTCTCAGATGCTTTGGAGAATAGCTTATTTGTGGCAGCCCCATAGATATTGGAACACTGCTATCATGTTCCCCCTAGTCCTTCTTTTCTTCAAACTAGACATACCCAGTTCCTGCAACCGTTCTTCATATGTTTTAGTCTCCAGTTCCCTAATCATCATATGTTATGTGTGATGTCTCTTCCCTTATCATCAAGCTGCAGTGTTCTGGTACAGTCCTTTCTTCCAATGCAAATTAGTGCAATAAAAATCCCAGTCTCAGGGCACAACAAATAACAAAGCAGATGTTATAATATCAGGTGATGTTGCAGGGAGCGATTCCAAAGGACAAGTTCCCATCAACCTGGCTTCCCTATGCAGGGAGGAATGTCACCATCACTAGTAACCACTCGGAGGATACCTGTAGTATCTCTTTGAAGCCAGGACATGGATCTGCCATGCATGAATTTTCTCAGTTATATGTTTTCCTCCACTCATAGATTTGAAGAGATAAGGAATATGGCAATTTATTCATTTAAAAAACAAACATATCTACTACCTGTCTCACTGTCTAAGTGACAGTTTTCAAGTAAAAAGATATAAAATCCATATAAAAATTCATACAAAAACATCTCAGCGGCAGCATATCCCTTCTTCCCACCTTTGTTGATTTCCTTTGCTTAGTCAATCCGCTATGCAAAAAAAGGGTATGGGCGTATTAACATATGTGAAAAAGAATCCTTTCCATTTTAAAAATATTTCTTTTAAGATGGAAAAGTTATTTATTTAAAATAAATTATATGACCACATATAAAGCAACTCTGGGTGATTGCTTAGGACTTAGTACAGTACAGTATCCACTCCACAAGTATAAATTTATGCCACTTATTACTGTCTATGGAGATCCTCAATCATTCAGGTCATTGTGTTCTCAAAAGTGCTTTTTCAAAAGGCAACTGGACTTTTCTTTGTTTTTCTTGCAGATGTTTCACTTCTCATCCAATCATCATCCATCGGTGGAAACGTCTTCAAGGAAAAAGCACTTTTGAGACAATTACGCGGCTTACATTGACATTTTCTGGACTAGATCGACTCTGAAAACTCAAATGACTTATTAATAGTGAGGATACTCTGCATGACTATGTAATAATTATAAGACTGTACATAAGAGTTTTTAATATCTGTACTGTACTGATCACAGGAGTGAAATATGACAGGAGTTTGATCCACTAAAGAGTTTTATATTAACCCTAGGTTCATATCTTGGGTGTCCATATATGGCTAGGATCGACCATGGGTGGTTCTGTTGCCAAGATTCCTTGTTGTATGTGCACCAAGCAAGCAAGACTGGAAGGGATGATTTTTATTTTTATTTTTTGGGTACAGTATTTTCACTCCGTTTTCAGTGCCCAGACTTCTCAAATGTTCCTTGTGTTATGTCCTTACCTCTGGTGTTGCCCTTCATCTGCTGGAAGCTTTCCCAGAGAGCTTGAATCTCCTGAAGTCTGTACTGCAGCTTCTGTAGGCTGAATCGAAACATCAGTTCTTCCCGCTGACGTTCGATGACAAGGGGAAGATGTTGATGCTGCGAGAGGGAGAAATGAGACATGATTCTCCCTGCTGTGTTTTTTTTTAGGCAGAACTCTTTCGGGTAATAAAAGTTGGAAGGATACATCAGGCCAGAGACCTTACAGGCCAGAGACCCTATATACCAGGGTTATTAAACTCGCGGGCCGCGGGCTGGATGAACCATGCCATGGCCACACCCATGCCTGGTTTAGCGAAGGGGGGGGAAAGTCACAATAAGTCACATGGCCAGTGGTGAAATGCTACCGGTTCAGCCAAACTGGTAGTAAAAAAAAGCTCCCGTGATCGGCTGAGAGGAGAAAGAAGGGGAAAGCGCAGGATCGGCCCTCCCCACGCTAGGTGCACGCACGAACACCTGAAGTGTGCGATCACCAAACTGGTAGGGAGACTGGTAGAATCCCACCAATGCACATGATGCCGCAGTGACGATGCGAGTTTGACACCCCCGCTATACACAATGGAATGTCCCAAGTCAGCAGTCAAAAGAGACTGGAAGCAGCAGATTTTTAGCATAGCTTGTATCTCTTATGCTGATTTTTACAAATACAAATAAAGAGAGAAGTGATATTTGATGGAGCTTGTAACATGGAAGGCATAGGCAACCTTGGGATGCCAAGGTCTAGAATGAGTTTTGCAATCACTGGAAGTTGTGGGGGCTCCTTAGCAACAAATAATAGCTGCCCTGCTTCCATTTTTAACCATTATCTAACAGGTGGAATTTAAGAATCCGAGCAATTATTTAGGTGTCAGAAACAGATGTGGAAAATCTCTTACCTGCTGGTGAACTGCTGTTTGCTCTGCTTCCAAGATCCTTTTTATAATATTTGCCAGTTGCAGTGGATCTTTCCGATATCTGCTCTATAATTATTAAGAAGGTGGCATCTGTTAATACTTGTCATCCTTCTTCCCTTCCACTATTCTTCCCCACAATGTTCACCTAGAATTGATGTACCAGCTAATTTTTTTTATCTATTTAGTAAAATTCTACATCACCCATCTCGCCTAAGTGACTCTGGGCAGTTCATAGCAACATAATAAAATCATATGAACACCTAAATAAAAGTGTAGATTTAAAAAAATGCCCTTCTCTAAGATTGTTGAAGGAAGACTGAGCCAAGGTAGTCAATGAACATCACTAAAAGTAAGTCAGATTCCATTCTTGAAGCTCAAGGAGCCTCCTAGCTATCAAAGAGCATTGTCGGGTAATTTTTGCATGTGGTCCTGACTTCCTTCTGGTGCAATTTCAAGGTTCTGTACAAATAGGAAACTCCTGACTGCAACAGCATGTACCAATGCAGAAGCAGGAATGAATCAAAATATAGTGTGATGCATGGGAATTCTGTGGAGTCATGACAACTGGCATGGCTGCATAAAAAGATGTTAATTCAGAATCATCAATCTCAGAGATATGCCCCTAGGGCAAACCAACAGGAAGCTTGCAATTTACTTTCTTTTTTTCTGGGTTTGGGGTCTGGTGGGAGGGTATGTGGGAGGGGGGAGATTTTGTTTGAATGCAAAACTGAAAGCATAAATCTGATGCACCCAATTACAGACTATTCTGAACAAAAAAGGAGGGGGAATTTGCCCCTTCCTGGCTTGATACGAAGACAAAGGAATCCTGCCTCAGTAAAGGAAGAGGGGAAAAAAAGGATCAAAGGAAGCAAATTTGATTGCCTTTGAAAGCCAAAGCATAGGATATTTGAAAAGTCTCTTGCGTAAAAGGGGAAGAGGGGGTATTCTTGCCCCTCCCTGCAATTCAAACTGAGGCACAGAGCTTAGCATTCCACATTGACTCCTGGCTTCAACATTACTTTGCTTTATCACAAATCCAAATTAACTGTCTTTATTCAGGACTTCAAAAAACCACATCTTTTTACTATTCTGTATCCTGTACAGATGCAGATAGATAAACTCCACAAAACATCCATAACAAAGTACTTTTATTGGTTCATCAGGTATCCTCATAACTCACATTTGTGATGAAGTTCTTTAATGACCAATCCTTTGCATATCTGTCTTGTAGGTAAAAAGATGTTTTATCTCCTATCCTTTTTCTCCCATCTTGTAATGATAGAGGTGGAACAGTTACCACGAGTCCATGAGTTCAGCCAAGAATAAGGAAAACTCCCCAACCCATCGAGGGTCAATTTAGTGACCAATTAGGTTTACAGATGTGGTCACGTGACATGGACTACATTTCCCAGGATACCTTAACTACATTTACCATGATGCATTCCCTTAAGGGAACAGCTCACAATTGCTACCTAACTGTCCAATTCCCATACACTGGCTGGAAAGCACACAGATCAAATTCTGAATTGGTCTCTGGTTGATTGAGATCTGTGAGGTTCAATTTTCAAGAAGCAGCCTGCATGTTATGCTTGGCTGTGATTCCCTGCTGGAACTGCAGATGAAAATATGCCTATTCTTGCCTTTTTCTGGCAAATTAAGTAATCAGGAAACCCATCCTAAGGCCTTTTTTTTTTTTTCTGTGATGAAACAACTCAACTCAGTTACGAGACAGTAAAGCATTGACTATCAGCAATCTTTGTAATTATTTCCCTCATCCCAGACAGGAAGACACCCCTTTTCTTTAATCTAGGGAATGCTGCCTGAAATGTTTAGTTTAGTTAAGCTAAAGCCCAGGCCCTTTTTTCTACCATTTTAAAAAGGAGACAACAGTAGAAGGAACTCTCGTTTCTTCTGCTGTCTAGAAAAGAAGATGGAAGTTTAAACCACAGGACTCAGCATTACGATGGATGACACACACACAAGATATCCGCATTGTTGTAGGACCGAAGAGGATCCTTTCGGTGACATACCACCTTCACATTACATCCTTCCATACCTCAATGTTGGCAACAAACTGAAGAATCTGAGCAGCAGAATTGCAGTTCTTGTTGGCAAGATCTCGTATCTTCTCCACCATGGCAGACAGCAGCCTTCCAGCCAGAAGAGTACAGAAAGAATCTGATCTGTTGATAAATTCCCTAGGGAGAATGTCGGGAGTGGGAAGGGAAATAGGACAAAAAAGGTAAAAATAATGAAGGGTAGAGATCCAGGCTACTATGCCTGCACCCAAGCCATCTCCCTCTTCAAAGTTCCTAAACTCAGCTGGTTCGAACTAGAGAAAGTTGGATGCCTAGCAGCAAAAAATCCTTGTGCTATTTCTTCTGCCTTTGTCTATGAAGACTCCTACTCTGCCAGAATAAAGAAGCTGGTCCTTGAAAAAGAAGGCAATTGAAACAATGCAAGGGAGTAAGAAGCGATCTGGAGGAAAGGAGCAGGAATAAGGAACATGAAAAAGAAAGGAAAAGAAGCTGAAAGTCAAAGTTGAAGTCCTGAAAATGTTGGGCAGAGCAGTGCCAGCAGAGAGAAGAAATTTAATGATGGTGGCAGGCAGCAGTAGAAAGCAGAAGCATCGGTAACCATCCAGAGCATGGTGGACAGAGCAACACCAAAACTAGAGGAGCAAGTGGAAAGGGCAACAAGCAACAAGTCCAATTTGGATTACAACAGTTAGAAGGAGGAAGCCTCCAACAAGGAGGCTGAGAAAAAGCCAAACAAACCCCACTGAGGTGAGCCCTGTGTACTGGTAGGGCATGTGAGAGGTAATAAAAGACACTTGAAGCTTTGATTTGAGTGAAAACTTAGTTTGCAACATTTTGATAACAGAAAGACCCTGTTCACAAGAATACATATTCTCCTAGCTAAATTTGTGACTCTTCCCAACCTAATCTATCACGTAAATCAGGGGTCCCCAACCACCGGTCCGCGGACCGGTACCGGTCCGTGGAACAAGTCCTACCAGGACGCTGGCTTGCTGGGTGCCGCCATCTTGTTTTGATGAAAAAGTGCTTCCGGTGAGCTTTTCCGGGTAGAAAGCTCACCAGAAGCACTTTTTCATCAAAAAAAGATGGCGGCGCCCAGCTAATGCCAGTACCGGGCCGCGCCATGAAAAAGGTTGGGGATACCGGGCCGCGGCGTAAAAAAGGTTGGGGATCACTGACGTAAATCATTACCAAGAAAAGGGTAACACTCTTAAACCTCACTTAGCGTTGTCAACTTTCTTGGAAAGATCTGAGAAAAATGAAGACATATTACCCATCTTATTATATATTCTCTTCATATTACTCATGGATTTCTAAGAGATTGACTAAGATGATTTCTGAGTCAAAGCCTGAAATGTAAGGATGATCTAGAAATGATAACTATAGCACAATTCTATCGAATGAGGAATTATTCCAAATTTATGATCTGTCAATAAAATAATCAGATGGAAATAGAACAAGCTATACCCACCTGTACATTAGTAACATGGGATTAAAAACCATACCTTGCCAGAGGTGATTAAATTTACCATTCATTACCTTTTTAGCAGACTTACCATGGCTCAGTTTCCAGCCATTCCCCTAGGATACAACGTAGAGTATGTGGAAATTCTTCATACAAGCCATTGAACCTCTCCGGAGGCATGGTGGAGACATAGCTCCACAGGGATGTGTTGGTATTGGTCATCTAAAATGGTAAAAACTAATGTTCATTATTGCAATCTGTCACACAGAAGATGTTACAACATACAGTGTTGACTAATGTGTCATTTCCTGCTTGAGGGGCCTTTTCCACTAATTCGGGTCCAAAACTAGCCCCAATACAAAAATCAAATAGTTTTTCATACCTTTCTAGATGTATTAGACTATAATCCCTAAAATTTAAAACAGGTTCTATGAATCAGTAGAGTAGCAGGTTCAAAGCAGTTTATTTATGATTGTTCACATCAAGTCCCCATCTGATGCCATCCAATTGTGTTGGAATTCACCAACTTAATTCCCTGCCCTCATATCTCATGAAATGTCTTATACCAGTGCTAATTTCATCATGGATATATCTTGTTTTATGGTGTGTGTTCAAACCTTTTCAGAAACCTTAAGAATCACAAGTTAACAGATCTCATTCAGGAGAGAAAGAAAACAGTAGAACAATCTACCTTAGTTAACTTTGATACTGAGCAGATAGGGTGCAGTCAATAGGCTACAATTTGGCTGAAACGTCTTCATCCCTAACAGAATGAAGTAAATATTTACAGTAAAAGCAGAAGTGAAGCCCTGTTATAAGATCTGTATTTTCTTTCAGGCCTTTGGCAAGGGTGAATTAAGGCTTTCTTAGATTGCCAGAGTTTCTTTCTTTTTTGTTACAGTCTGGTTTGCCTCACCTTTGTCATCTCTTATTCTTTTAGTTTTGCTTCTTATTGTATGTTTAAAAATGAATTTACATGTGAGCTGCACAGGATCATTGAGAGTCAGGTGACAAATTTAACAAGTAAATAAATAACAGATTATTGCCTCTGACAATTAAAAATAACTGTCCCACTTTATACCCTCATGGGTTTAATTTGGAGCTTTTATCTTCCCACAGTTTTCATGGCTTTAATTGATGTTTCCCACAGTCAGTTCTAAATTGCAGTTGTCAGTTTACATTCTAAACGTCTCTATCCCAGAAAATTCCAGCTCCTACCATATCTCCAAAAGATATGAACTTATTTTTTGCAAAGAATCTTTCAAAGTATGTAAATCAGACTCCAATCCCTTCTCCATTTATTTTTTATCTTTATTTATAAAAGTAATAAAGGCAGGATTGAAAAAAAAATCCCTACTGCCCCTTTGTCAACATTTGTCTCTACAAATGTAAATTCCTCCTCCTGTTCTCTTCCATCCCTCTCCCTCCCTCCCTCCACCCTCTCTCTCTCTTTCACATACACACACACACACTCACACATTAATAGGAAAAACATAACAAAGAAAAAGGGGGAAATAGAATATATACATAGAATTAACCTCTCCCCCCAAGAATCTGGCTTTTTTTGGAGTAGCTCCCACCAATGCTGCCCCTGGAGGCATCCTTAGTTCCAACCTTCCTTGTATCCTGAATGACTCTGAAAATTGTTTTTTCCTCAGTAAACACTCTGATGTCGATGGGACCACTGAGTTTAAATGAGAGGAAAACACTGCTAGGCTTTTATGAGATTGGGCGCAAATCGTTTTTGTTTTGTCTTGTTGTGCATGGACCAGAGCAGGGGTGGGAAACTACCAGTTCGCACCCATTTTCTAGAACCAGTTGTTAACATTCTAAGCAGTTCGGAGAACCGGTTGTTAGAAGAAATTACTGGCCTAATCCTGTAAGGAAGGCAGGAAGGAAACATTCTGGTGTTGCTTACAGAAACTGCCTCTCCATTAACCCTTGTTACATTCTTTGCAGGACTAGACTTCCTGTATCTGGAACTTCTCTGAAGTTTTTTCCCCCTCCTTTGCTGGTACTTTGCTTGTGTGGAGTGACCATTCAAAGTTACAATGGCACTGAAAAAAGTGACTTATGACCATTTTTCACACTTACGGCTGTTGCAGCATCCCCAGTCATGAAAGGCCAGGCGAGGAGATGCGTGCCTCGATGTGAGTGATATTGAGTTGGCCACACCCAGCAATAACATGACCACCAAGCCATGTCCACCCAGACACATGACCACCAAGCCACACCCACTACCTAAGCCACGCCCAAAGAACTGGTTGTTAAAAATTTTGAATCCCACCCCTGGGCCAGAGTATGTTTGAATCATTGAACATCTCCTGTCTTATTAGATTTATTGTTAGGGTTTATCTACCACGCCAGAGGTGGTATTCAGCAGGTTCTGATCAGTTCTGGAGAACTGGTAGCCAGAATTTTGAGTAGTTCGGAGAACTGGCAAATATCACCTCTGACTGGAGATTTTACAGTATCCTTCCCCTGCCACGCCCACCAAGCCATGCCCACAGAACCGGTAGTGCAAAAAATGGAATCCCACCATTGTACCACGCTACTAGTTTTCAAACCAAGCAGCTGAGTTCAACATAAATGCCAAGAAAATTAGACTATGGCTTAGCACGTGGAACTGAATAACTGAATGTCAAGTGTTAGGATATGTGCAGAGTAACCCTTGTATAAAAAGGATATGCACACGGAAAACGGTTTATGAGAACAGCTATGAAGAAATATATAGCCACACAGAATTAAACAAGTTGTATTAATGTTTACTTGAAGAAATAGCACAGTCCAATAAACAGTCCATGTCATACACATTTTTAACAGTCCAGAAATATCCAGTTAGAAAGTCTTCTTACATCTAGTTATAAAGTCTTCTTACCGGTTCCATGTCTTTTACAGCAGACAAATATCAAACCATAATACAACAAATAACCTTCGATATCAACAGAATATCAAAATAAACAGGGTTAGTCAGTATCGGTCCATAGTCAGTCAGTATCTGTATCAAGAGAGATCATCAGTGAAAAAGAGAAAGAGAATTAAACCATGATCTATAGCTCCCTCTTATGGCAACTTGTAGCATAATTAACCAACCAGAATGGGCGTTGGTTCTTACCTGACACGCCATTTCTCTTCGAGCTGCGAGGATCATCCAGAGAGTGGGAGGTGCTTCAGTCTGTGTTGTTGTAGGCTGAGCTTAATTACTGAGGAACGCTCCCCCTTCCATCACGTGGCTCCCTTGTAGCATTCCCCAGTTTATGCGAAGGCGAGAGGGAAGAGAAATTCGTACTCTCATCTTACTAGACTTAAGGGTTCATTGGCCGAAACAAGACCCCACCAGACGGTGAAAAAATAAGGGTGGGGCTGGATGATCCTCGCAGCTCGAAGAGAAATGGCGTGTCAGGTAAGAACCAACGCCCATTCTCCTTAGAGCTGCTCGGATCATCCAGAGAGTGGGACATACCAAAGCTTGGCTGTCCTACGGGAGGGACTCCGTCTGGTTCGGGAGCCTCTCCGGGTCCTTGAGGACCCGCTGAAGGACTCGTCTGCCAAACGAGGCCTCCGCTGAGGCAAATATGTCGATCTTATAATGCCTAATGAAGGGAGACGGGGAGGCCCAGGTGGCAGCCCGGCAAATATCAGTGATTGGGGCTTGGGTGGCCCAAGCTGCCGAGGTAGCCGCACTTCTGGTGGAATGTGCTGTTATTCCGCTGGGTACTGGCAGAGCCTGAGACAAGTAAGCTTTAGAAATACTAGCTCTGATTCAGCGGCCGATGGTTGAAGGGGACACTTCGTGGCCCAATGTCTTGGGTTGAAAGGAAAGGAATAGGGATTCGGACCTCCTAAAGGGCTGGGTGCACTTAATGTAAATGCGAGGGGCACGTCTCCCATCCAGGGTGTGCCAAAGCGTCTCCCTCTCCCGCGAGGGATTGGGGCAGAAGTTTGGGAGCGTGAGTTCCTGTGCCCTGTGGAAGGCTGAGTTGACCTTGGGCAAGAAGGTAGGGTCGGGCCGGAGGACCACCCAGTCGGCATGGAAGATGCAAAGGTCCTTTCTCACCGACAAGGCTGCGATCTCCGAGATTCGGCGAGCCGATGTAATGGCCACCAGGAACACGACTTTGAATGTTAAAAACTGGAGGGTGGATTCCCTTAGAGGCTCAAAGGGGTATTTAGTAAGGGACACAAGGACCCTATTGAGGTCCCAAGTAGGATATTGGTGAACGGTTGGGGGACACAAATTAGTGGCTCCTCTGAGGAATGCCCTAATGCGAGGGTGGTGGGAAAGGGAACCAAGGTTGTCGCAAGCGATAACAGTTGTGAGGGCTGCGACCTGCCGTCTCAAGGTGTTAGGGGAAAGCCCTTTCTTAAGACCCTCTTGGAGGAAATCCAAAACCCGAGCGATGGAGGGCGAAAGCGGGTTGACCTGGAATTTATGGCACCACTTGCAGAAAGTATTCCAAGTGGCATCGTATATTCGGGTAGTTGAGGGCCGTCTGGCGGCTAAGATGGTATCAATAACCTGGTCAGAGAGCTTCTCGTTTCTTAGGCAGTTCCGCTCAACCTCCAAACGGCTAACTGGAGCCATCGGGGATCCGGATGCCGGAGGGGCCCCTGAGAAAGGGAGATCCTGTTCGGGGGGATTTTCCAGGGATAGGTTGTGGAGGTCCGCAAACCATGGGCGTCTGGGCCAGTAGGGGGCCACCAGAAGCAGTTCTGCCTTCTCGTGGATCAGTTTCTGGATGACTCTGGGAACTAGGGCTAATGGGGGGAATGCGTATAGAAGCCCTGGGGGCCAGGGGCAACGTAGGGCATTGTAATTCTCGGCCCCGTGGGAAGGGTACCTCTAGAAAAACCTTGGGAGTTGTGTGTTGAGGGGGGATGCGAAGAGGTCCACTGTCGGGAGGCCGAAGATCATGGTCACCTCCTTGAACAGAGACGGGTGGATGCGCCACTCGGACTGGTCCACCGTGGCCCTGCTCAGCCAGTCTGCTTGGGTGTTTGAAACCCCTGAGATGTGCTCTGCTTTGAGAGAGAGGAGATTGCGCTCTGCCCAGCGGCAGAGGCGCTCGGCCTCTCTCATCAACCGTATGGACTGTGTACCCCCCTGTCTGTTGACGTTAGCCTTGGCAGTGACGTTGTCCGTGAGTATAAGGACATGCCGCCTGCGTACCTGAGGGAGGAAGTTGCGCAGGGCCAGGTGGATGGCATGAAGTTCCAACCAG